CTGGAGGATACACAACACCCACATATGCTTGTAAAGCACTTATAATATGACTACACATTAAAACAATTCTTTCAGGTTTTTTTTTTTTTTCATTTTAAAGTCTCTAGTGGACCAGTGCCCTAAGATGTACCCCCCATAGTGTTAGCAAATGGCTGCAATATAACAAAGAGTGAAAAATTTAAGGGGGTCTGAATACTTTCCGTACCCACTGTATATATATATATAATCAAGTACAACAAGGCTTCTTCAGTAGAAACATATCTAGAATAAAAGCAAAAACTGACTTTTGGAGCTAATTATTAAATTAAAAATGACTCTTAACAGATTAACTACAAAATGAGCACTAAGGTGGAGCTACATTTTAGTTTACCCACCCAAACATGCAAGCAAATGCAACGTATTGTAATGTGATAGAATCGTTCCACTTCTCATTACTGCTTTTTATTTATTTGCACCAAATAAGCTGCCAAACAGTAACTGTAACAGTCTGTTAAGAATATTGCATGACCAAAAGGCTTACAAGCAAAATTAGGAACCCTTTCTAAAGCCTAATCCAGATTACTGTTTCAAAACATCACTAAACTCATATTAGACACAATAAACTGAGCAAAACACAAGCTTAACATTATAAACAAGCCTGTACTGCTGCACTAGAAGATGTCTGGGTGGTTTGTGTTTTATGGGCATTGGGCCATTTCGGGTTTAATGTAGATGATGTAATCTCCAATTTTTCATGCGTTCTTTTCCTGAAGCTTTTCATGCCAACCAATCAAAATATCTGGACACATTGTGATGATGTGAAGCAGGATCTCCTCAGAGGTCAGGTTTACAGGGGCTCTGCTGCTGATAAATCTGCCGTTTCCTCGGAGCATTAGGGTGTCTGGTGTCAACAAAGAAATTCCTACCTTTGAACAGCTGCCCGGGGAGTTCATGGTGGGCTGATGGCCAGACACACTCCTTAAAGTTGTGACGGCCCGTGTAACCAGAAAATCCTGCCAAGCTATTCTGTACGCTTCCGCCCACAAACAGTCCATGCTATAAAGAGCCTTAAATAAAAGATCTGCTGTCAAAGCACATGACATCACCTTAGAAAGACCTTTCTATGACCTGCCAAAGCACATGCAGGTGCTTTGAATTTGCAAATTCAGACTAAAACAGAATTCAGTTCACGTCACATCTATCCCTAATGGTGGTTAATGGACCGTTTTCAACAAAAGCTACACTCTTTTGACAACATCTGTTGCTTACCACAAAAAATCATCAGCACAATTGACCCTTTGCTAAGCTCTGCCCCCTTGGTTACTTTTCATGTGTTTTGGCTGGTCGTTTACACGATAACAGTGTTTTGAAAATGCAAACTTTCAAAAATGGGTTTCATAGTGCAAGTTTTAGAAAATGATATTCTTATCATCTCAGTGTAAACTATAAAAACGTGACCTTGTGAAAACTGATGTCATATGCATGCGTATTATGTGTTCAGTATATAGGAAGTTCTTTACAAAGTGGCATCACCAACTACTGGCCTGGCATGGATAATACAGCGTTTTAATTGTTTTCAAGGATCCAAGTGAACGGGGATCATATTGACAGCATTGTCATCTATACAGTATGCAAAACTTTTCAAAAATTTAAAGGAAAAAAAACTTAGTTTGTAGTATATTATTTTAATGTAAACATAACCTCAGTCAAGTTTCACAGAACAAGGAATGAACAGCAAGATTTTCAGTAAAAAATGATCATAAAGTGGTAAAAAATTGTTTGGATTTTACTCTTACGCAGACTGAAATTAATTACGACATGGCATAGCATCTTAATCTGACTTTTTTTTTTTAAAAGAAGTGTGAAATTAAGCAGTAATACAGATCTAATTTCAAATCTGAAAGAAAAGCATTGTTTGAAAGCGATAATAAGTGATTATATTAGTGTATGTGAACATAATGTTTCTACCATAAATCAATACTGAAATCTTTAGTTGTTATGGACAAAACAATGACCAAAATAAATATGTACATGAAATGATGTTATATACAAATACTCCATTGAATTAACTTCATTTGCAGTGCTTCATGGGAGTGATCAGCCACTAAAAAGTTAATTTGCCGCAATTTGTTTGTCACTATTCTTTGATTGGTGCCATTTTTTTTTCAAAATCATGGGCAATGTAGATTTGAAATTGAAATAATGTGGACTGATGGCTTTAACAAAAGCATGCACCATCAATCAACAACCTCATTGCTCACAGTATGGTTTAGCAGTTATTAAAAATCAATCAATTAAAAATATCATTAAAAGTAAATTCCTCTGTAGAGAAAATTAATGGGATACATTCTTCAAAAACTTGACTGTTGCACTCTATTATAAACTGACCTATAATTGATATCATGGCTGATTTGATTTCACTGGAGCTCTATGAAGTCATACAGGTTCCTAAATTCAATGACATCTAATAAAAGCGTCATGCAGCACAATGCTGCAATTGTGTCCCAAAGAAAAGCCTAGAGTGGCAAGCCGGGGCAGCACTCAAACAAGCGCTGTCATGGTAACACTTGTTTTTGCATGAGAGGAGGAGGATGTAATACCCCCTTAAGGGGAATCTCATGAAGTCTAATGGAAGTTGACAAAGCAATGACTCATTATGTGGTGACTGGACATTATCCTAAACAATCATGAATGCAAGACAAAAGAGGAGAGCAAAACAGCTCTTTTCAAACGTTTCAATTAAACCACCCTGCTCTGACTTGAATATCAGCCCAAAACCATTATATGAGGAACTGTAGAGCTGTTTTATAAAAACTGTGCAAAACAGGCTGGGTCAACACCTGCCTAAAGGCACAGACGGACGCACTAAAATCTCCTGCAGTCAGTTTGTAATGTATTAGTGTCTTGGCTGGCCTTCCTTCGCCAAGGCCTTTGTCCCAAATCAGAGGTGGAGGCTCTAGGTGTCAGCTTGATGATGTGCATGCCGTGCCACTGTAAAAACTAGAGCCCGACCGATATATCGTTTTGCGATATTATCGGCCGATATGAGCCTGTCGCCGATATATCGGTATCGGCGAATATGCACAAAGAATATCGGCCGATATATCGATATCGACTTTTTTTACTCCCTAATATCGGTATCGGTATCAGGCCTAAAAAACCCATATCAGTCGGGCTCTAGTAAAAACCCATCAGGATGACAATATTTCACGCTCTGGTTGATACTTTGCACCGTGTCAGTAGCAAACATCTGATGCCTCAATGCAATTCACACAACCCTTTAGCTCACAACTGTAAAGCGATGCTGCTTAACAGAGATGCAAGATCATGAAAAATATATACAGTGGGTACGGAAAGTATTCAGACCCCCTTAAATTTTTCACTCTTTGTTATATTGCAGCCATTTGCTAAAAGTTGAATAACATTATCTCTTACTGGTTAAGACAAATCCTGTCTGCTTCCCAAACAAATTCATTTTCAAAAACAACTTATTAATATGTATGACTTACTTAATATGTGCATAAAAAGATCTCACTGGAAGGGGAATCATAATGCACTTTGGTGTTTGTGCCTTGATTCCTTGATCTATTCTTGGCTAATAATTTCATTTATTCATATAAGTCTATAGCTTTCAGGGAAACCTTCACATGTTTTTGACTGACTCTGTCTTAAATGTTTCCTATCAGCACAACAAGGACAGCTTTGTCAGCGGAGCCTTTTCCAGTAGACTGCATTGCAATAAAACAAGGATAAAAAGGATCCCAGACTTTTTAAAACGTCATCCCAGGTCCTTCTCAGCTCTAGAACTGGGAACTCAGACATGGTTTTATGATGTGGCTTCATCTTTAGGTCTCTCTTCAAAGGGTCTCAGTAAAGGCTGGAGTCCAGTAATGAACTTCTGATGTGGGTCAAAAAAACCTAAAATGACTTTGCAGGATACAGATAACTAACCGCAAAAAGACTAAACAAATGCTGACAGTCAAAGTTTCAAATTCAGTATCCAGACTTTCTTTAAATTTATCTATTTGAATGGTTCAGAGATAAGGCAGAACTCTTAGGCCTAAAAATCTGTGGCTGAGTTTGTGAGCTACTTAGTACAAGCACCAATGGAGTGCATAAGAGAAAAGAAGCTCCAAGCCCACATTAATATTCATTGGAAGTTGCTGAGGAAGAAAAAGGGTCCACAAAAGAGTTTGCACAAACAGCTCCTAAAGATCCGCTTGGTCCTGTGGTGACAAACTGCCACCAGACCAGAGTAACAAAACTAGAGCAAGAAAATTCGTAAAACTGTCCAGAACAACACTCAATTTCCAATTTTCCTGTACTTTTTAGGATTGTATTTGTAAGATAGGTCATTTGTTTAAACTAACATTAAAGGGATGGTTCACCCAAAAATGAAAATTTGATGTTTATCTGCTTACCCCCAGGGCATCCAAAATGTGGGTGACATTGTTTCTTCAGTAGAACACAAATTAAGATTTTGAACTCAAACCGTTGCAGTCTATCAGTCTTATAATGTAAGTGGATGGGAATCACGGCTTTGGGAGTCATAAAACATACACAAAACAAAACCAAATTAAACCCTGCGGCTCGTGACGATATATTGATGTGTAAAGACACGAAACGATCAGTCTGTGCAAGAAACTGAACAGTATTTATATCGTTTTTTACTTCTGATTCACCATACACCCAAATCCACCTATCAGGATTTCGCATATTGCTACATACAACTGTTTTTCTGTAGCTCAAGGCCCGTTTAAATAACTTATTCACTTTACAGATACACCGCAGGGTCATCTGAGGGGCCGAACAGATTGAAATCCTTTGTTTCCAAACTGTAACTCCCATAAGGCTCTAAAGTAAATGTGCACAAAAGCAACGGCGCGTAATAAACTGCTGTGAGCGCAAATGCGGCAGTTACATAATAAAGCTGCGAGTCGATGTTCCGTTCTCCACGGCGGGGCCGCGCTACACAAATATCACGTTCAAAGACGGATGCTTCAATCTCAAATCAAACTCACCAACTGGTCCTGGGCTCGGCAGGGATTTCGCCAGCGTCCTCCAAGCACTAGAGAGGAAAAGCAAAAGAAAAAAAGAGCGGGAGGTGTGCGGTGGACGCATTCTCACAGTGGCATCGTCAGATCCTCTTTAAGTAGCAGTTCATCCATGTTTCGTTGCGGGATGGCACAAGACTGACTGCTCCAAAGTGCGGTTGCCACGGGTGCCCACTCGCTTCCTAAGTACTGCTCCGCTTTTTTCAGTACTGTTGTCCCAGATGGGAGGGGGAGATTTTGGAGTGCTGTGATTCCATGCGCCCTCTGTCGGCCGAGGCTCATGCAACTTCGTTTGAATAATTTGAAGGCCGTTTCCAGCGTTCTACCCCCACCCGTAAATGAAAATTTGCTGAAAATGTATTCACCCTCAGGCCATTCATGATGTAGATGAGTTTGTTTCTTCATCAGAACAGACTTGGAGAAATTTAGCATTAGCTACATCACTTGCTCAATGCTCACCAATGGATCCTCTGCAGTGAATGGGTGCCGAGAGTCCAAACAGCTGATAAAAGCATCCCAATAATCCACAAGTAGTCCACACGACTCCAGCCCATCTTGTGAAGTGAAAAGTTGCATGTTTGAAATAAATAAATCCATCATTAAGGCCATAATCCTTAATTCATAATAACCCTCTGGATATGTTTCTAAGAAACATGCAACTTTTCGAATTTGTCACTGTCCATGGTGCTGAAAAACATCTTTTGGAAATGAGAGTCCAAACAGCTGATAAAAACATCACACTAATCCACACAAATCCAGTCCAGCAGTTAATGCCTTGTGAAGTGAAAAGTGGCATGTTTGTAAGAAACAAATCCATCAAGGCACTTTAACTTTAAAACATTGTTTCTGGACAAAATATGAATCCATAATACATAATAACGCTTCCTCCAGTGAAAAAGTCCATACCCTGTTATCCTCTCACATCAGAATCCGCAAACATATTTGTTTAGAACTGTTTAGGATGGTTTTCATTTGTAAACAGTGCTTGATTTGAGCACATTTCTCCTAAATCAGGAGAGACAACTTTTTCACTTAAGAAAGCAATATTATGGAAGAGGACTGGTATTTCAGCCGGAAGCAATGGTTTACAGTTAAAATGCCTCGGATTTGTTTATTACAAACATGCAGCTTTTGGCTTCACAAGATGTTTATTGATGGGCTGAAGTCACGTGGATTACTTATGGATTATTGCAATGTTTTTATCAGTTGTTTGGACGGCACCCATTCACTGCAGAAGATCCACTGATGAGCAAGTGATGTAATGCATTTCAAAAAATGCATTCTCCAAATCTGTTCCAATCAAGAAACGAACTCATTTACATATTTGATTTGAATCAAATTTTCAGCAACTTCTCATTTTCTAGTTAACTACTCCTCACATCAGAATCCGCAAACATATTTGTTTAGAACTGTTTAGGATGGTTTTCATTTGTAAACAGTGCTTGATTTGAGCACATTTCTCCTAAATCAGGAGAGACAACTTTTTCACTTAAGAAAGCAATATTATGGATAGAGGACTGGTATTTCAGCCGGAAGCAATGGTTTACAATTAAAATGCCTCGGATTTGTTTATTACAAACATGCAGCTTTTTGCTTCACAAGATGTTTATTGATGGGCTGAAGTCACGTGGATTACTTATGGATTATTGCAATGTTTTTATCAGTTGTTTGGACGGCACCCATTCACTGCAGAAGATCCACTGATGAGCAAGTGATGTAATGCATTTCAAAAAATGCATTCTCCAAATCTGTTCCAATCAAGAAACGAACTCATTTACATATTTGATTTGAATCAAATTTTCAGCAACTTCTCATTTTCTAGTTAACTACTCCTTTAAGGCTATACTTAATATTTTTATTTGCTAATAAATGAAGCTTTACACAAATAAATGAACAGCATGTTTGAGAAATATGATTAAAATGACTCACACAAGGCAAAGACTGGAGACAAGTAAGGCTTCAGCTAAATGTAAACTACTGAGTGCACTTCTGAGCCACACACCACAGTTTTATGATAACACATTATGTGATTCTTATCCATACAGTGTTCACAGTTTTTGCCTCACTACTAGTCATGAAAATGTACTCACATCCTTAAACTGTGCTCACAAACAAATGTCTAATTTCTTACTCAAACCCAAAGCATTGTGATTACACACTTCAGTGCAGACAAGACATTTTAATGACTGACAATAACAATGAAAAACAGCAGAAATTAAATGACTTACAATGGGTGAAACATATGCATAATACATTTTGGTGCAAATTGTTCATAAGTTAGATTAAATTAATGTGACAGTTTAAATAACAATAGTTTATGAATAAGGCTCAGTGTTCATAGTCTGTTCTACAGCTCAATGATCTGATTATGACTGATAATCAAAATGCATCATCACCCATCTGAAATACTTCAAATGTTACTAATAAGGGTTGGTTGGAGGCAATGCTCATTTATCTACATTTCTTTAACATAAATTTAAATGCAAGCCATGAGTATCGGTGTACCTTTTATTTCTGCCTGAATATAAAGCATATTAGAATGATTGTTGAAGGATCATGTGACACCGAAGACTGGAGTAATGATGCTGAAAAGTCACAATATTATTAATCACAATATTTTTCATATTATCATAATTTTCAACTAAATGTAGCTTTGGTGAGAATAAGAGACTTCATTCAAATTATCCCAAAATGCTGGCTCTATAACCATAGTACATATTTAATGCAATTACAGAAAAATAGAATAAAATTAGCAAACAAACTAAAAAAAAAACCCCTCAAGATTTGTGATGTCTCATCAAGATGTCTCGTTAGGTTCTCCACTCAGTTGCTGCATGTCATCGCCATCATCGTCACATGGAGGACGGTTACGCTTGAAAAAACCCACCTTAAACATACAGTGTTGTTTGTTAAACTTAATGGAGATTTATGTGGTTAGCATACATATATCTGTTTTACAGTGATGTGCTTTGTTTGTTGCTCTCCAGGAGCCCTGTATGGGACAAAGCACCCTCTGCTGTTCACCATATAGAAGTACCTTCCAGAAGATGGTGCTCAGTGCAGCCAGTAGAAGCAGTCCAGCGATGACTGACACTACTATCCACCACACAGGTACCTCCTCTTGTCCATCTGGGCGTCTCCATACTATATTTGTATGTGTCTAAATAGATTTACAATGAGTTTTAATGAGAAGTTGCTTATGTTTTATGATACAAACCAAAGAACTAATGTCTCACCTCTGCTTTTCCTCTGGGCAGCACATCTGGCTTGATTTTTGAGGGCACATCTGCCACCTCATAGTGAGCCGTGGAGTGAAGAACGAAATTTACGTTTGGTCTCTGGGCGGCAAATGGAGACAGAAACAGAGAGAGAAAGAGCTATGAATATCAGATGATTTCATCAAATGCCTAGTGTTTGATCTTTAAAGTTTTGCCCACCTTTAAGAAGGTTTGTACCCACAGTCTGCTCATCACTCTCACTATGGCCCTCTCATCTCTCTGCAGTCCCGCAGCCTCACACTCAAACCGAAGACACTGCTCACCACTAGAGCAGTTCTGCACAGTGAGAGATATAACAATATGTAACATGAAAGATGGAGGCATTTGTACAAGCTATGTGCTTAAACTGTAGAATTATCAACATTTCTATGAATCAACAGTGTGACGAGTGGGGGCGGGGCCGAGAGCCGTGGGAACGGAGCGAGACCGGTGGAGTAATTGATAATGAGCGACGTACGAAGAACGGGCCCCAGGCCTGGATTTTATTTTGTGTTTTGGTTTTGTTTGTGCGCGACAGTCGTCCGCGAGGGGCTGTCGCGCTATTTTGTGTTTATTTTATTAAAGTTTTATTTAAATGTTCGCCGGTTCCCGCCTCCTTCCTCCCGAACTGCGAACTTTGTTACAAACAGCTACTGGTAACAAGAGGGACCAATCTGTGATATCACCTTCTACTGGCAAAGAAGAATCACACAAAACAAAACATAAAAGACTTCTAAATTTTTTACAAAATATTTGTTTTATCGTTGCAAATTGTCATTCTTTTGAACTTTCTATTCATCAAAGTATTCTGAAAAAAGACGATGAGAGTTTCTACAAAAATATTAAGCATTTAAACTAACATTATTGATTAACATTAACTGAATATCAAACTGTTTTCAACATTGATAAAAAATTTACAAAGTTACTTGAGAACCAAATCATCGTATTGGAATAATTTCTGAAGGATCGTGTGACACAGAAGACTGGAGTAATGGCTGCTTAAAATTCAGCTTTGCATCACAGAAATAAAATGCATTTTAAAATATATCAAAATAGAGAACTGATATTTCAAATTGCAATATTTCATAATATTACTGTTTTTACTGTGTTTTTGATCAAATAAATGGTGAGCATGAGAAACTCAACAACAATAAAAAAAAATCTGAATTATTCCAAACCGTACCACATGGACAGTATTTTGCCACTGCTGTTCATATTCTGCTTTCTGTGACAGGTCACGTTTGTTGAAATGATGAACATGGGTACTGGAGGGCTCCAACTTTACTAACTGTGGACCAAGATAAATAGGAAAGGTAGCAGTTATTGCCATTGAATAAACTGTATTATACTTACAAAAATATATCATGATTTATTTTGTACATGGCACCATAGTTATACCACAGTATCTTGGAGTGATATGTAAATCCCAATAATTATGATTATAGTAATAATTCAGTATCATAATCAGTATCAATATATAGTATGTATTAAAGTAAATGGTAACACTGTACTATATGGTACCACCACAGTAAACTGTTGTTAGGGTAAATCCAGTGTTTACAGATATTGGTGTGCTTTTTTTAATAGTATAAAGTGTGTTAAGATTTTATTTTCTGACAAATGACTTGTTCAGAGAGTTTAATTTAGAAATGCTGGTCAGTAGGGGGCACTCTCACCCCACGTGGGTCGATGTTGGGGTCGTCTGTCTGACAGGAGATGAGCTCTTCAGAGGCATTTGCAAACACATACAGCAGATAGGACTCATTTTGTGAAACAGGAAACTCCAGTGTAAGCTTTACATTGACTGGACTGGGGCCCATGTTCCTTAGCTGAGACAGGAGAGTAAAAACTTATGCATAAGTATCGCGAAACCACTTAAGTGAAGGTGTTAACTGTAATCCTAGACTGAGCA